GGGATAGACCATTTATATCCAACTCAGTGTGATAGTCTTGTGAAACATAAATACATTCATACCACATAAACATATCACATTAAAAAAAATCAGCCTGAATATCCATGTAATAGTTGCCGCTGTACACTAAGCGCCCTTCTATCCATATGTAGCTGTGGACATTTTGTTTGATGCGTGCCATCAGTTTAAAATACGTACGCAACACCATTCTAATTATTTCAACGATTCAGTTGTAAGCTAGTTTTGATAATGAAATAATGTTGTGTGTTGTCATACTAAGTTTGTGTATGCGATGTTTTCTCTCTCTAGAAGAGGCTCGCAGATGCTTACCCTTATGCCCAACCTAATTTGGTATATTTTGAAAAAGAAAAACACATTGTTAAGTAAAACCGTAATTGAATTGATGTAATGTTTTTAAAGTTCACATCACCGATAAACATATTAATAAGTTGTAGTGACCAATTTTAATGGTAAACTGTTTTGGTTGCTTTTTGTCATATTTACTTTTCGTTTGTTGTTTAAGTATAATCTAAGCCGTTGATTGTTTCATTTTATCATGTCATGTAACACGGTAGGTATTATAGTGTCCGGCTGAGAATTTTTTTTTTCGAGTGATATTAAATACGATCAAATCGATTTAATGCTATTTCCCAAGTAGAATGGTTTTATTCATGACTGTTTATCTTATTCCGAATACTATACATATTTGAGGCACAAACTACGCACAATTTCCTTGACTTTTTTAAAATCCAACGTTTCCCGTTTTCCGGGTTCTTTCGCGAGAACATTTAAAGCGTCCTGGTTTTTTTAACAAATGGGCTGTTTTTTTCTTTAAGAAAATGGGAATAAGAAAGAAGACACTGTTGGCATTTAAAACTGATTTTTTCCTCGATTATAACTGTTATTTAGTGGAGAACAATAGTATATATTCCCATTAAGTCATAAAATATATTACAATATTGATCAACTTGAGCATTTTTTAATTTAATGATAATTGTACTGAAACCTTGCAGTATTACGATATATAAGAATTTACTAGGTGCTTTTTAAAACGGTCTATAGACCCGAGTACAGGGGACTCATAATCTTTTCGATTTCATTCCATGCAACCTTTGCTTTTACAGTCAATAATAGTTTGTGATTGATATAATTACAGTGGCGAACTCCCGAGTTTTAAAAACATAGGTAGGAATACTAAGGAATAGCTGTAAAAAATCTGAAAAATCAGAAAACTCAATATAAACACAAATATTCTACTAAAAGAGGCCTCCCCGCAAAAATTGCAAGTATAACAAAAACCTTAATCCGTCCATGTACTATTTCCCATTGACGATAAAATTTGAATTGCATGGAATATCCAATAATAAATGAAAACAACACTTGATTGCATGCGTCCTAAGCGCTTGTCTGTATTTACCTACATCCGGAACGCCCAAAGCTGAATATTTGAAAGTCAAGGTTGTATAAGAACCGACACAATAGACCAAAAGGGACATAAACAATAGCAAAATCCATCTCAGGTCAACTTTACCTGAGGTAGTTGAAACCTTAGTTTCTTTATAATTTTTTAATTCATAAACGGCCAATTGTAGATGATAGATTGTTTGTTGCTTAACGTCCAGTGGCAAATATTTCATGCATGTCCAGGACGAGAACAAATTAACAACAAATACAATAGGTATGTCCTGTAATAGGGTCCGTTCGGAATGAATGTCGAGAAAAAGACTGCCACTGAAAAATGAGGGTAAACTATATTGGATAGGGACAGCAATTTTGCCTTGCAACAGGCACCAACGAACCCCTCAAAGAGCTGTTCCAAGGGTCCTTAAAGTACAGAGTCTGTGGCACTCTCTTTACACGCTCTGTTCTGACTGGACGTGGCTGCTTACTTGTACTTTGCTCAAAGTTGGTTGTCGTACGATAACTTACAAAAGTGCATATAACAAACTATCCCTAAGCTTAATACAAAAAGCGAATATCCCGTTTCCCTTTATTTGCTCTTAAAAAAATGTACCATTATTGAAGCCGTCGTGTAAGTCAAATATACTTACATATACAATTCATAACCACATTTAGAGCAGTAATCACAAAGTCGACAAGTAATTTCTGCATATGGTTCATTTATTTAGAGAATCAAAGTGTGTCAAAATCAGGTATTACTAATTTATTTTTCAATTTAAAGAAACATATTTCTCATTTACACCCTGTTGATCAAACACGCTACCCTTTTTCTTATATTATATTTAGTTTTTCAGAAAATATTCTTTTCGTTTTGTTTCGTTTTGTTTCGTTTTGTTCCGTTCCGTTTTTATTCCGTTTCGCACTTAACAGGTACCCACTTTTTAGTCCTTACTAACATTTTAATCAAAATCTAAAAGATTAAACTCACTGAATGCACGAGTGACTTTATTCATAAAAAGTGTCCGTGTAACTTCATAAAAAGTGTCCGTGTAACACGATAGCAGAAGTTACCTTGAACTGAATGACGCACTAATGTTTAATAATTATAGGTTAGATAAAACATGACCAAGTATTGTCTGACCAATTTAGAACATATTCACACCTTCGAGTGACATAACAAAATTAGCCTCTCATTGTAATAATCAAACTTTGATATTAGCTCACTTTAAGTGTTAACATGTTTAGTTTAAAAATGGTTATTTCAACAGATGGAATGAAAGAGCAATGAGATAGTGTTGTGATAACATAAAAGGATAAATTACTCAAAAATGGAGATTTCTTCTGCTTCCGGTAAAATTTAATCTTGTATATCTAAAATTCCTTCATTTTAAAAGCACAAAATATTATATAAAACAGCTTTTCTAAAATTGTATAATTTTTAAAGAAGGACAAAACTTCATCAATAGATTTTGATTTACAATCAATTCAACATCAGCTGCTTACTTTTTTTATTGACGAATGTATTGTTTTTTTTCTTCATAAACTTCCTTTTATTTTTCTTAAAACATTGAGTTTTAGGTCTGGTATAAAAATTAGATTAAATATTTCATGTATTTTACCTACGCCGTTGACCCTTTTCCTTTTTTTTTTCTTTTTTTCGGGGTTGGGGTCTATATATGTACCATTAATTAACATTTACAATGTTGAAATCAAAACTTAAAATGCTTTTGTAGTTCTATTCTCCTGATTTCATATATAATACCTGGTGATTAGACAAACAACAGTACTCATGATTTTTTCTTTTGCTCTTTTTCCTTGAACATTGCCTTGGGGGTTGTACACTTCGTTAGTGCAAATTTAAAGAGTTCACTTTCATAATTAATCTACAATGAAAAGTCATTCATGTGTAGCATTTTATAGTGCATGGAAAGCCATGTACTATGAAAAATAGAAGGGAAAATGCTGATTTTCCATTGGACGAGAATGGGTGAGTATGTTCTAAATGTAAAATGACATATTTTTATCGGCTTTTTTGATTTATTCTATGTTTACAAATAGGGAATTCGATGGTGTAGTACTTTCAGAAGTTTTCCGGAACGTTCGATAGTTTTCCTCCGTTAAAACTTGAGAGTTTCCGAGTCTCTTTAACCGAAATTCCCACGCTATTACTATTGATATAAAACAATACACATAAAATGTTTATTTTCTATTTGGAAAAATGTTGATAATGTCAAATTTAATATCTGAGATTACCCCTGGTGTGATGGTGGATTCGTGTTGCTCACACTTTAGTTATTTATGTAGGGTTTTGATTGATTGGTTGAATAATTGCTTGCTGCTAAACGTCCAGTGGCAAATATTTCATGTAATTTCAGGACGAGAACAAATTTACAATAAAAATACAATAGGTAGGTCTTGTAAAAGATGACGTCTGGGTTGACGGTCGGGGAAATTTTGACTCGTACTAAAAAATGTCAGAATATTGGAAAGAGACAGAAATTTTGCTTTGCAACATGTCCTTTACGGGCTCCGCAAAGAGTTGTAGCAAGGTTCTAAACATGCAGAGAGTGTGACACTCTCTTTACACGAGTCATTGGTTTTAAAATCCCCATTCTGACCGAACGTGTCTGCATACGTATACATCCCGCACAGCCAGAAGGGACGATCCACTTTGGCGAGGGTTTTACAGCCGGTCGGAAAAAGACCAAAGTGACCATGTTTCTATTTCCTTGCGGAAGGAGTGTTCAGAAGACTGCTAATTGTCTTATTGACGTGTTGTCGATGTGGTTCTGTCAGTTTAAAAAAAAAAACAAATAATTTCCTTTGGCTTATGAGTTTTGATTTTCCGTTTGGTTTCAGTTACGCCTCAAGTATCGTAGTGAACACCACAGATCTATAAGATTTTATTCTAGACAAATGGACAAATTGTAAATGATTTTTTTAAACCAATTCCCAGTCTCATACTGTTTCATGTAACATAGTCCTAATTGCTTAATGTACATTAATATCAATTGTCTCTCTGTTTGAAAAGAAGTTATCCGTTGTACTTACAAACCGTCACTTCTTACACACCAAAACAAAGCAAGATTTCAATTTAGGACGAATCGTGGAGTAAAAAAGACACAGCTAGCTAAAACGAATAGATGGAGTTCATGAATACAACGAATATCCCGCATTTAGATGTTTTACTTCATTTCAAATTTTTGAGGTCAAGAAATGTTAACTAATTATTGAGTCAAATCCTTCACATCAGGTTCATTATAATTTTTACTAAATGTATATAAGAAATTATTAAGTCTAATACTCAGATATTTTAGAGACGGTGCTGCCCTATAGAGTCTAACAATTCTTTTTCGTACCAATTGTCATGTATTGTTAAGGATTGATCAGTTGGTTTTCAGCTCATTAAACCAATTACATTGAGAATGTACCGTCAATTCTCTTCTACTGATGAAAATAAAAACGTCTAGTTTGCTCATGTTTCTCATGTTTGTATATCTTCATAGATCAATTGCAACGAGTTTCCCTTAGGAATGCAGGTGATGCAGTAAAGGCAAGTCAAACATATATTGTGAGGTGGAAAGTCAAAACAAGTTGAATTTTTACAATTTGACACTTTTTAATAAGCATTGTTCTGGTACACATGCATGTATTTGTATCTTTCACAATCGAATGATCGATTGATGTAAAGTCAGGTTTTAGATACATTTGACCTATTGTATAAAGGACAGTTTACACAAATATTAGTACATACAATTATATCTTTTTAAATGTTATTCGATACAGACTATAGAATTTCAGAGAAGAAAGCAGAATAATAGAACACGTTTATAAGTTATGTTTTTTTTTAATATAAATATTGTCATTAAAAATAACTTTTCACCTGTTAAAAGGAATCTGTCAACACTAATTTCCTCCCGAAGCTGTGCCATACATCTCGTGAAATGTTTAAATGAATCAACTCGAATGTTGTATTTCGAATACTTCGGTTTATCAAGAAATACTCCGAACACTTTTTATTCTGAAAATACACTTCTTTTTTTATTGTTTTTTGACGCAAACCTTACTGGTACATTGTTGGAAATGCTGCCTATGAAAGTTAATGTGATATTTTTGGTTAATGAGTTTACCTCAGAATTTCCGTAAAAAACTTTTTGTGTCATTCGTGGAATGCCTGGTTCACTCAGGGAAATTTGTCCTTTTCATATTGTATAAGTTTAAGACGCTCGAGTTGTATTCATGATCCCTCGTTTTACATCCTTTGATATACAAGAAGTATGATAAAGTTTATCGTCAAAACTAATTTTCTAATCATCTGAATAATTTTATCACGCCTCACATGCACTTGACATCCGAGTCTCTTCCTCTGAGTATGTTTTTATTTTTTACGTCTAAGCAGGAAATACACAATTTACAAAAAGTGTTATAAACAATAATACATGTACATAGAAAAGATAACAGGAATAACCAAAAACAATGTCAAGGTACAAAAAATCAATGCTGTTTCGTGTAAGTGCATTGAAGTATCATGATCTGTCTCGTCGTCTATAAACGGGATAGCCATTGTAATTCTGCAAATAAAAAAAGATAATATTTTTTATTTATATTACCGCAAACGTTTACGAAATGTCTTTTGAATCTATACTATTTCTTTTGTAGATTTCTGAAATATTAGGATCTGCTACAGAAGGCAAAATGTCCCCTCTCTACCATTTCTCCCCTACTTGCATAAAATATTGGCGACTGGAAATTGAACAATATACATTCATCAGTATATTGATCTTTTTGCTCCACAAATAAAAGAGTTGTGTTTCCGATGTCGTTTTGTCTCATTGACTTAGTGTTTGAGATGGTGGTTTGGGATGGGACTTAAAAGAGCGCATATAAAAAGATAGATTTCGTGTCCCGACCAATTCTTTCATATTTTCTTCAGTTGCATTAAACGCCATCTACGGTTATACTCCTTGCTCTTATTCATACAAGTGAATACATTTGTTGCTTAATTTTTACCGTTCTGACTAATCAAATAGCATTTGCATTTCAAACCACTACCACTATTTTCAGTCATTGAGGCTATTACTGCTTTTAATGGAAAATAACTTTTCCACAAAGCATTTATAGTGGTCTATTTCTGAACGATTGTATGAATGTTGGGTTATTTTTGTCCAAGTCTATCTACAAAGTAAACTAGAACGTCACAGTTATGACTTACAATGCAATTACTAGTTTATCATTACAATTCTTAACTAAGGGGTTATTTTCTCGAAGATGTCCCTCAAAACCTCAAAACCTGAAAATCTGACCCCAACTAGCAAATTGACTTCTACATCGACATTAATTTTGAACATGAAAAACGTTGAAAATATTGTTTATGTAATCAATCGCATTTCAGAACTTCAATGAACAAAATGTTTATGTTATTTTTAGAAATGGGTTTTTACCAATGAATGTAAATAAAATAATTTTAAACATCAAAGAAAGACAACACAAATGAAAATCATTTTGACTGAAATTGATGAGTTTTCCGTCTGTTGTTTTGAATGAAAAGGACAGAAAGTATATATATTATTATTTTTTGGTATGACGCATATTTTGACATTATTGTATATAATATACAACAGAGAATTCAAGGTAAATAAAAGCATTCATTGTATATCTAATTGAAATAGAAAGACTCTACGAAAATAAATTTATGATTATAGGAATGATTATTGTTTCGAAGAAGTGAATTGTCCTCTCAGGTCAGCAATATACCCGAATGACCTGCATATGAAGTATCGAAATCACAACTGTTTTGCCTCGGAGTGGACATAATCACAGCAATATAAACTGCTTATAGTTTTATAAGATTAATCTGTCTAACCATATGAACAAGTATTTTCAATACAATGGACATAACACTTTGAACATTTCGTCTGGAATATCGTCATTAGATACTCTCAAACCAAAACATTTGAAAGCATATAACGCAGAAATACTTGAATAAGTGAAGTGAGGAACTATAAGATAAAAAACGACGCAATCTGAATAGCCAAATTCATCATAGGTCAACTTTGCTTGATGGGATTTTGAATCTTGATTTTCTATATTTAGTTGTTTCTTATTTTGTCAACGGAGACTTTAAGAACAGTATGTTATAAATCATGTCAGCACCGAAGCTGGTGATGCCCTCGGGAATAAGCAGTTCACAAATTTTTGTGGATCTTTATCATTTGAGTGTGTCAGAGTAGAAATAAATATCTTTCCACCAATCCAGCCATCGATCAATTCTGAGAGCCCAGGCATGTACAGTCATGGTTTTATATGCCTTAACATCGACAGTTATGTATTTCAATTCATCTGTTTGTTCTTAATTGGTTTTTAGACTTTACTGGATTGTATCGGCGTAAAGCTATTAGAAATAATCTGCTATACATGATGTTTACCGGAAGGTTCTCGGAGAAACCGTTTATATTTTATAATTCAGGCAAAAAGAGTAGGAGGGATTGGCATGATGATACTTTTGATGACGTAATGTTCATTTTCATTTGTTGATAGGGAGTTATTTTTAATTTTGTTTATCCTGCAATCTGTGGTGCAATATGCACATGTAACCGTTTTTTGAACAAGCCAATAGGTATTTGCCATTTGATAAGCTGGGCTCGTGTAGACCCCACCATCTTAATCCGAACGAAGTAGGAATGGTAAAACACATTATGCATTATAAACGTTTTGGAAATATGCAGACAACATTCAATCCAAAGCGCCTGTGTAAATTCTCTTTTAGGGAATAGAAAGAGAAAAATACACCATTAAGCAGTAAAATGTTGTTAACGTTTAATTTATTAACGTGTTGTATTGCCAGGCTTTCTCGCTAATGGGTACGTAATTTAAAAAACTAGGTTTCAATGGTAGATACTAGATTTTTCTGTTAAATTTATGCACAAGTTTTATATGTTTTCGAGACGATTAGGAGCTTGGCATATTGTGTAGATATTTGTCTTCTATTGAAAACTATATGTCTAGATGTCCTTTTATAGTTTTGTCATTGGATCGCTGTCTAATTGACGCGTCCCCCACTACTCCGTTTTTAAAACAGTTTAAGTTCCGTTTTATGTATATACTTTGAAATCGGTTTATGACAAAACGTATCTTCACGAGTAATCGACTACAGATTAATTGCTTTTTTTTTTATCTCAAGAATATGAACTGAGGAAGAATAATCGAAGAAAGATGTGCTAAAAATTATGATACAAAGAAAAATTGTATATCGACTTTTAAAAAAAGAGTGTCTTGCTTTGAAAGTTAAATGGGCATATTTAGTTTTGTCTCACATCTTTTCTTGCCCATACCCCTTTTAAAACGTAAAGCTATCTATTGTCGTACATACAACACAGAAAAAACGAAGGAGCTAACAACTCAGTCAAAAAATAAAAAAAGACTTAGGTAATAGACCGATAGTCTTTGATTTTTAAATTCCAACTTGAAATGATGTACAAGGCAACCAGTCAACAAAAGTTCTGACACAGAAAAACCAAATATAGCGGTTTCAGGAATTATATAATTTTCTATATATTTATGTCTGTTGTAAATGTGAGATTTTCTTTCAAACATTAGAAAACTATTATAAAAGCTTCTTTTTTTTTGGCAAAATGCTAGTTCTCGATTATATATATATTGGCCACAATAATAAAAGAAAATACAAGTACGCTGTCTTAATCGTTAACCATATATTTTCCTGTTATTTACAGTGATCATATTCTTCCAAATATAAAGAAAGGTCTATTAAAAAAAAACACCCTTTTATTGTTATTAATTATTTTTCAACAGATTTCGTACATTTATATAAAGTACAACGGATATACGAATATACAAATATTTGGATATAAAAACAAATTCTTTTTACCTTTAAGTTTACAAACCTACACATTGATGAAATGTCGCTTATTTTTGAACGACACATACATGGTGTATGGTTATTGTTTTTTAATCATTTCCTCAATTTATTTTTAAACTGTACATTTGTACATGTGTTTACGTTACCTGCAGTATTGATTATAAAGTTGATCTTCCTTATCCTTCATTTTAAAATTACAGATATAAAGATAAAACAAATAAACTTAAAATAAAATGTTGTTTTGTTTTGTTAAAAAAAATCTAATGAACAATATTATGCCGAGTCAAAAACTTCACAACATTATACATGTTACATACACTTGCAAATGTATATGATCTTTATGTAGCATACACACCACTGATATGATAATGGAGCAGGCAATTCACGAACGTGAAGATAAATCAATGTTTTACCTCCCCCAAAATTGTTCATATGCGATTTTCTTTCTTTAAAACAGAGAGGAACAAATAAGATAAACACTCAAACAAAACTGGAACAGTGGTAATCTGTAGGAAATGAATTTTATATAGACTTTAAAAAAAGAGTGTCTTGTTTTAAAAGTTTAATGGGCATATTTAGTTTTGTCTCACATCTTTTCTTGCCCATAACCCTTTCAAAACGTAAAGCTATCTTTTGTCGCACATACAAAACAGAAAACAACGAAGGAGTTAACAACTCAGTCAAAACATTAAAATACTTAGATACTAAACCGATAGGCTCCGATTTTTAAATTCCAATTTGGAATGATGTACACGGCAACCAGTCTACAAAAGTTCCGCCAAAATTAACAAATATAACGCTTGGTTTCAGGAATTACATTTCTATTGTATATGTGATCTTTTCTTTCAAAGATAAGAAAATTATTATAAAAGTTTTTTTTTTTTGCAAAATGCTAGTTCTCGATACTATGTATTTTGGCCACGCTTTTAAAGGAAAATATAAGTCGTTATTAATATATTTTCCTGTTATTTACAGTTATCATATTCTTCCAAATATAAAGAAAGGTTTAATTAAAAAAAACACCTTTTTATTGTTATTAATTATTTCTTAACAGATTTCGTACATTTATATAAAGTGCAACGAATATACGAATATTTGGATATCAGAATATATTCTTCTGACCTTAAAGTTTAAAAACCTATACGTTGATTAAATGTCGCTTTATTTTTGAACGATACATATTTCATATATGTGTATTGGTTTTAGTCATTTCTTAACTTTATTTTTAAACTGTACATTGTACATGTGTAACTGCTACCTGCAGTATTAATTATACAGCTGGTCGTCCTCACCATTCATTTGCAAATTACAGCTACTAAACATGCTAAAGATAAGAGATAGACTTAAACTAAAATGTTCTTTTGTTAAAAATAATCTAATGAACAATATTATGCCTAGTCAAAAACTTCACAACACTATGCATGTTATATACAATTACGAATGTATTTCATCTATATATAGCATACACAGTCGATCTTATTTCCACTGATATGATAATAGAGGAGGAAATTCACGAACGTGAAGATGAATCTATATTTTTACCTCCCTCAAAATTGTTCATATGCGATTTCCTTTCTTTAAAAAAGAGAGGAATAAATAAGATAAACACTCAAACAAAACTGGAACAGTGATTATCTGTAGGGAATACATTTTATATCGGCTTTACAAAAAGAGTGTCTTGCTTTAAAAGTTTTA